AAGATTGTTTAGATGTGCTCTTGCATTTTAGCAAGCCAAAAATACAGCATAGGGTTACAGGAAGCACAAAGCTTAAAAATCTGTAGTTTGTGTTTTCCCTATATTGTACAGAGCACAGAGATCAAGAAGTGTCCTTGTGTTAAAATGGGGTCTTTTTCGTAATGTGTACATCCAAAGCAGTAGTAAGAACAGACTTGAAATACCTACTCCCTTTGGTGCCTATGGAGAATGAAAATGCCCGTCTCTCATCTTTCTCCTTGGAACAGCTGTTAAATATGTCAAGAGAACTGAGCGAGTTGAAGAAAAATCTTAAGGATGCTACTGCTGCAATCGCAGCTGAGCCTCTGACGACAGAATCTGAGCCCACATTCAATTCTACAGAAGCAGCTATTCAGTCCATGCTGGAGTGTTTGAAGAACAATGAACTTGTTAAAGCCGTCCGACAAATAAGAGAATGCAGGCAAGTTTTGCTACATGGCTCACATTAGACTTTCATGTTATGAGAAACATATGTGTTTATTATCTTCCTATCTTTATACTAAATGTAATGTGCTGAGCCAGCATAATTAATATGTTTCAACAAGTTATGTGGGGGCGTTGATATTATTAACTTTTGCACTGTGTTCCACAAGTAACAATATCAAATCAGCAATACAAACATGTACGCTTGCAACAATTAAGATGTTTAATGACATCGTGTAGATCGAAAGTACTTCTGTGAGGCTCTTAAGAATCTTTCTACAGAGCTAATTCCTTACAGGTGTATGTCACTGGCATCAGCTAACATTCAGCCCAGCTTCACTTTCACTTATTTGAATGAGTTTTCTTAAGCTTTTTTTTTTAGATAATAGGAATTGCGCTTTTATGTGATTTCAGTGCCTGGTACCAGAGTCTGAGTAACAAATGAGTAGCGTAAAACAGCGAGTTGCTTTCGGCTTATAAGCGTGTGCGAGTCAGTTCTCCTTTTAGCGATCTCTGTCACCTAGTTTCCGTCTGTGCTAATAAACCCATAATGATACGCACATTCTTTTCCTGTTTGATTGCAGGATTTTGTGGCCCAATGATATCTTTGGAAGTAGCTCTGACGATGAAGTCCAGACACTACTGAACATTTACTTCCGGCACCAAACCTTGGGTCAGACGGGCACCTATGCACTGGTGGGCTCCAACCAGAGCCTGACTGAAATCTGTACCAAATTAATGGAACTGAATATAGAGATCCGCGACATGATTCGCAGAGCTCAGAGTTACCGGGTCATCAATACTTTTCTTCCAGACTCCAGCATTTCTGGCACAAGTCTCTGACAGGACTCTTGTGTCCTCTTTCAAGCTGGGAGTGCTGCCCTGTTGGAGTGAGGTGGCTCAATGTCTTCTCAGCCTTACAAAGGTTTGGTCAAACTGTACTCACTCTTGTTACGTTTAGGATTTCTTCTAAAAAGATATGGGCTGAACTTCAAACGTGTAGCAATACTGTAAGGACAAAGGTAGCATAGAGCATCCGGGACAACATCCTTTGTTGCACAAAAATCAGTTTAGCATTTCACTGAGCAACTGCAACTCACTACTGAAGAAGTGACTTCCATTGCATACCAAAGCCTACTACACTGAACAATACTTCCTTTATAGCAAATTAATTTTAGGTTGGCAAAAGTGCAATGTTTCCTTCACGAAATAGTATTTTTTGTTAAAAAAAAAACTTGTACATTTTTTCCTTTTTCTCTTATTTGGTTGAGTGAAAGATGGGCAGAATGAAGCTGGCCACAGAATCTCGCAAACTTGTTGGTCAAAAGCTGAGAGCCTGTGTATATGAAACAAATTGTAAATGGACTACAGTTTAATGTACACTGTAATTTGAATATGATTACTGTATCTTAAAACAACGAGCTGCTATGAAGTACATTTCCTAATGTTACTAGGCTACTGTCTCTGAAGGTACTGGATCATATCACAGAGGTCTGTTCTTAGGCCCCCCAAGCATCATGAATGGTCTTGGTAGATTTTCTTTTTTTTTTTTTTTTAAAGGACCTTGGCTGCTTTTTACTAGAGGGTTGCTTTTATGAATATATTTATACTATTAAAGGATGGTCGATCTAATTTAACTTGCCATTTTGTAGGAGAAAGTCCCATCACAGAGTCAAATCTTTTGAACTGTTATGCATGCATATTTTTATTTAATACAAATTTTGAGTATAAAAAGTAAAAATATTAACGTGAAATGCAAGTTCTCATTTTAAGTTTCTTTAAAGAGATGTCTTATTTTATTTGTAATGTATATATAAAAGTCATACATGTATCGTTTTTTTCTTACATTTAACTGCTGTCCAGTGTTAAATGTATGCATGTAAATCTGTTGCACATCTGAGACACTTTTATTCTGACAACTATGTAACTTATTCACTCTGTAAATACACTTACCGTTTTTGTGACGTAACTTGGGTTGATACTTGGATCAGTACATCCATTTAACTAAAATATAAAAGTCATATATAATCACAACACAGTATGTGCCTATTGTGAAGATTGTGTTCTTGTCCGAATCTATACTGTTGCAGATGGTATCCATGATCAGCAGCCCCCAAAGACACCTTGTTCATCGTTTATGGTGAAACTGCTCATTACACTGAAAGAAAACAGTGAGAAACGTAAGGAGTTTTTTGGTCAATCTGTAGTTACAACTTAACCAGAAGGAGTACGTGGACTAAAACAGTTTCATAACTGAAAAAACATCCAAAATGCAGGTGAAGGTTTGTTTCTGTTAAAAACATCAGTAATGGTCCTATTTGTTCCAGCGTTGGGTTCTGGTGGGGTTTTTTGTCATGCTAAAAGTAAAAGAAAAGCTGTCCAGTCTGCTGTATCAGCCTCAGCTCTGAGAATCCAGTAAAGCCCTCTCCCCTTCACCCCCTTTTCGTTTTCAGAGTGCTTGCACAATTTTACATGGATCTTGAAAAATACTTGTATTGATGCATAAAAGGGGTGAAATTGACTTCTTTTACAGGTTTTCTGATTTTGCAGTCCACAGAGCTCAGCAGCACAGTTGTAGTTGCAGGACAAAATAGATGCAAGGCAAATGATACAGCTATTTTTCTGAGTAAAATAATCCATAATGGTTAGAAAAGTCTTCAAATTTCAGTTATGTGTTTCACTTTTGAAAGCTATTCAGAACTGTAATTGGGGTGGTCTGCAAAAATTTTAGTGATTGGTGAAAGCTGAGAAATGCTCTCACTTGGCAAAATCATGGGTAGTGTACAGATCACAGAATGACAGGAAAATTCAGGTTGGAAGGGACCTGAGGAGGTCATCTAGTCCAGTCTCCACTCTGAAGCAGGGTCAGCCGTGAGATCGGATCAGGTTGCTCAGGCCTTTGTCCACTTGGGTCTTGAAAACATTCAGGGGTGGAGAGTGCACAGCCTCCCTGGACAACCTGTTCTACTTGACTCTTCTCGTGGTGGAAAAGCTTTTCCTTTGTCCAGTCTGAACCTATCTTATTTTATTTTATGTATGTTGTCTCTCAGCCCACTACCGTGAGCCCCATAGAAGGGCCTGGCTCCGTCTTTTCCTGAATAACCATAACCTGGCAGGCTATTTTTAGGTGCCCCTGAAGTCTTCACTTCTTCAGGACTGAGTAAGCCCAGTTCCTTCAACGTCTCCTCACAGAGCAAGTGCTCCAGCCCTGTGACCAGCTTGGTGGCCTCCACTGAACTCCTGACAGTTGATGAACATCTCTCTCATATAGAGACCCCCAAACTGGATACGGTAATCTAGATGTGGGCTAGCGAGGGCTGAGGAAAGGGGGACAATCACTTCCCCTGCTCCGCTGGCTCTACTGCTGTTTGTACAGCCAAGGATGGTGTTGCCACCCTTCGCTGCCAGGGCCCACTGCTGGCCCCACAGCCAACCAAACCCCAAAGGCGCTTTCCGATGAGCTGCCCCCCAGCCAGGCAGTCCCCTGTCCATGTCGCTGCAAAGGGTTCTCCCCATCCAGGGGTAGGAATTTTGTCAAAGACCTCCAGAGGTTCCTTCCACCCTAAAGTATTCTGTGGTTCTTCACAGATACAGCAAAAGCCATGATGTAACTATCTAGCTTTCTTAACATAATTTCTAAACTTCAGGTAGAATAGAAATTAGTATATCCCCAACAAAGTCTCACTGAAGTCTTAGGACAACGCAAACTGCAGTAACGCCCCAATGGGCTTCTACACCACCAGTACTTTAATTAGGATTCCCCTGACTGCATTGTCTATATGAAAGCACATTCAGTTATTCCCTTCAGTTATATTTAAGCCACCTACCCTGGAGATACCTTACCTGACTGGAAGGCTTTCAAGGCACAAACCTGTATTTGAATCAGGGGCACAGGGACTTGTCCTATGTCTTTTGGGACACATTAAGTCTACGAAATTTGTTACACTCTGTCACAGATACCCCAGCTCTAAAGGTTTTTCCCCTCTTCACCTGGAAAACACATGAAGCTTACACTTTTCCTTCCTGTGTTACAGACATAGCCTGTTCTGGCATACAGCCTTTGATTATCAAACTGCTGTGATTCTCTCTTTTTTTTTTTTAAATACATTTGACAGAGGCAGTGTGAGGAGACACTTGCAGATGCATTTACCCCAGACTTTATGCTCCAGAATGTTCACATCTTCCACACTAGCCGAGTCTGAGTGACTGAAGGAAAAACTTGCTATTGCAGTTTTAACCTTAGCATGCCCTAAAGGCAGACTAAAAACAAAAGCCATTTTCTTCAGGAAATCAAATAGGTTCTGTTTCCTTCTTGATACACTTTCCTCTTTCATCCCAGCAAGATGAAACCAAGATGTAACAAATTAGTGCAGACTTTTATTGAATTTTATTCACAGCATATATACAATGAATTTATATCCTTCATAAATAATACAAAAGTCTTTATCCATTATCCAATGCCAGGTCAAAAGCCTAAAGTCAAAACATTGCAGGAGACTGACAAAGTGCAAAGTGCCAAACAGCAGAGGACACGCAGGTCAGACAATGTATTTGAAGCTGTAAGTGTTATCACAGGACAGCCTCTTGCCTTTGCAGCGGCCACAAAGTTCTTGGCGATGAGGTCGCTTGAGATCAATGTGTCTCTTCTTCTGAGGGCAGGAACAACGAGTCTTTGAACAGGTCTGAAGAAACAAGACATTTCATTAGTAGTAGATGAAAGGTGCTCACTTCATGTTAGACTGACATTTAGTTTTCCTTAATCATAGCAACGCATTTGGGCTGATACACTTAAAATAGCTCTTGTGGTAAAAACCCTGTGGAGTTCAGCTGCAAGAGCCTTCTCACCTAGAAGCACAAACAAAACCCTACCCTGTGTGTAGCTGGGTGTAACACTGTATGAACACAAAACCTTTCATGTAAGCCATCTGCAGGAAGAGGAGTCCCGTCTCTTTACACCTTTCCCAAATAACATTTCTTAGTACTTTCATTGAAGCAAGTTCTCTTCCAGATAAAGTCAGTATCTAATTCAGCAACTGTAAACTATTAGAGAGTGTGACAAACTCTGGCAGTCTTACTAGGATACAGAAATCTGTAACTTACCTGGCACTGGATCGCTTCCACTCGATAGGGATTGAAGGCCTTTTGGCATTTGCGACAGTGCTGCTTGAAGTACACCTGGAAAAAAGCAAGTACTCGGTTACTATAGAGTACAGGTACCTAAATTCGTGCCAAAACATCTGATTTGTCACAGATTTGGTGCCATTCTTACAAAGTCTCAGGAGCAAGAAACGACTTAGTTAACTACCTTGTTGCTTCCAGAAATGCACCACACGTAAGCACTCTCCCATCTGGTCTTGCAGTCTTTACAGTGGAAATAGCCATACTTCTGCTCCAAAAACTGCAGAGAGAAAGTTCACTGAGCGGCCCCCAGCACCACAAGAAGGCCCAGCCCAGCTCCCTCGTTACACCACCTGCTTTCACAGGCAGGAGGCTCCACCACTGCGAGAGCAGCCAGGGTGGGGACCACCGTGCCTTCTGCTGCTCAGGAGCAGGTTTCTCTCCAACCTGTTCACAGCTCACCCCCCCACGCATCCCTCTTTGCCCAGCGCGGGCTGCGGCAGGTCCCAGCCTCTCCTCAGGCCCCGTTTGTCCCCAAACTGCGCACCTGGAAGGCAGCCCGGTGCCTGGGGGCTGCCGCCGCCTCCTCCCGTGGCATCTCCGCTGCCTCCTCGCTCGGCAAAGCGGCCTCCGCCTGACCCTCCTGCTGCTCTCTGCTCCCCTCCTCCGCCTTCTTCTGCTCCTCGAGCTTCGTTTCAGAGCCATCTTCCTTCTCCCGGGGTCCAGCGGCCTCAGGCAACGTGAAGAGGCGACGGTGGTCCGGCACGGGCGAGTAGAGGGCAAGGCGCCCTTGCGCGCGGAGGGCGGCGGGGACGACGGGGCGGCCGACGGGCAGCGTGCGCAGCCCCAGCGAGCACTGCACGGCGGCGTCGGCCCGCAGGTTCACCTGCACTCCCACCTCCTTGGTGTTGGCCCAGCGCGGCCGCGGCATCAGCCCGGGGCTCACCTGCGAGAGCAGGGCCTGCAGCTGGGCCCGTCGGTAGCCGTCCAGGTAGTCAGAGGGCACGGGGGTGAGGGACCCCCCGAGGAAGGGGCTGATGCCGCCGCTCTTGCTCTGCTTCCAGCTGGGCTGCTTCACCGCCGGGTCCCCGCTGCGGCTTGGCGTGACGCTGCCCCTGAAGCTCTGGTAGGTGCTGAAGGGGGGATAGACAAAGCCCTCCATGGTCATAGTCACAAAAAAGTCAGCGCTGGTTGCCTCCCTGCCCTGCCTTTATCTCACCTGGAGAGCTGCTGCTAATTGCTGCTAATTGATGGGGAAATTGGCCCCAGCCAGGTGGGGCTGGCTGGGGAGGATCGATGGCGAAGGGAGGGCTGTGGGCCTGCCCTCGTCTCCTCCGCTCCCAGAGTTTTTTCCTGGTGGCTGAAGCAGGAGCCGACATGTTTCCGAGCGTGCCGCGCGGGAAGCCTGGACATGCAGACCGTGAAGCCTCTGTTCCGGCCATCACAAGCAGGATTTCCCTTCCTTACCTCATTGAGACCTTTGCAGAAGGTCAAAGCCTGCGCCGCTCGCTCTGCTCGTGGAGGCTTTCGTCTGTGATTTCAGGGAGGAAGCGCAGCCACAGGGCTAGAAGCTGCAACAACAGATCCAGGGCCGACAGACTCTCGGTTGTTTGGGTAGCTGTAAATCAGTGAAGAGCTTGACAGAGCTGTGTAAGCCCCGAGAAGCAATCCACGCTCAAAAAGTGGCACATCTCTGCAAGACCCTGTAAAGATGAATAGACGGAATTCAGCCGTAGCTGGGACAACCACGGCTTTCATAGTGAGGGGAAGCCCGCTCGCTCGCAAGTCCTCCTGTTTATGGTCTCAAGAGAAGGAAAAGGGGGGGTGGGAAAATAACAAAAGCCCAAAACTGGGTACCTCAAGGACAACTGAGCAAAGAATGCGGGCAGTTACATCTCTGAAAAGAAGTCTTTATTGGTATTAAAAGGTCTGAGCATCCCCCATTGCTCTATTACTTGGGGACTGTCTACGTACAGCTTTTCTATCAACTGGATTGGTTTAGGAAAAGATGGGATATACTTCAGTTTGTACAACGCTCCAGAGGGAAAACAGTTATGCTGGGAAAAGTGGCTTAATACCTGTATAATGAAATAAATTTTAGCAATACAAGCACTTACACATTAGACTAATAGTCCTTCTTCCATAATGACATCACTTTAGTTCAATTCTAAGGTAATACAGTTAAAATTATATAATTAAATCACCCAAACTGTGTATGTGAGTCCTTAGAGACTGCAGAATCCCCAAATCCCTGGACCTGCTGTGATGTGAAATAGTTTCTTTGCATGACTCCTCACCACCTTTATAAAAGCATTGCATTATGAAATTCAATGGGCCAACAAGATAAGGACTAGAGAAGGACTGATAGGGATGATGTCTTTAAACGTTCACAGCATATTTGAGAAAGATCCTTTCAAGTGTCTGAAATAAATCTGTAAGAAACAACATTTTTATGGAACAAAAAAGGGCTGAGATTCAGGAAAAACACATTCATCGTAGTTAAAAGCACGATGGTTCAAGGCTCTGTGTTACACTTGGGTTTTCAAAGCACTCTGTACCAACTGAAAGCAAAAACAGGGTATCGAGATGACCAGGTTAAAACTTAGGACTGCAGTGTGGCTGCAAAAAGAGTAGGTTGTTAGGGTGCATTGGGAGGTGGGTGGAGATCAAACTGGAAACTACGTGCCATCATTCAAAACAACGTTTTGGCTTTCTCTAAAATGCTTTGGGAAGAACCAGCAATGGCAGCGACCCAGAACACTGCAGGATTGGAAGTTAAAGTTGTTGGAAGGAGGTGGGACATGGAAAAATTATTGTATGAAAAGGCACCGAAGAAGGTGACAGATAAGTAAGTAGGTGGTGTGATAAAACTGTAAAGTAAGGACTGGTACGGGGAGGTAGGAAGACACCCCTATGTAACACAAAAGCAGATGAACATCTGGCTAAAATGAAGGATGGCTAACTCAAAATTGGTGATAGGAAGAATTTTCCACCCAACTTGAATTTATTTTATGGACTCATTGCTGAGGCTAAGAATTTTGTATCAGGAGTCAAAACAGGAACGAACATGTTTTGAGGATAATAATAACCTCTTTATCCACCCAACCTGAAGTTATTTTACAGACTCGTTGCTGAGGCCAAGAATTTATCAAAACGGGAGTAGACACGTATATAGTATTAGTAATATTCTCTTTATTATAAACACCAACAATGATAATACTTTCATGTGTCAAGACCTACAAAACCACCTGAAAAGATGAGGTTCAGACCTCCGCAGGCAACGGCACTCCATCACCGTACTGCTGCCCACCGTAAGATTTCTGGAGCCTTTTTCTGGGACGCTGGCGCTAACTGCTACGAAAACAGTACGATGGAATATGTCACCCTTGGATGCGATACTTCCATTTCTCGTGAACAAAAGCAGCTGGATGTCACCGCAGGCGCAGCGCACTCCCTTCGTTGCGAGAAAGCAGCCGGGGAGGGAAAGCGTTTAGGGAACACACCGCGCTCCCTCCGCCGGCGGCTCTCTCCCCCGCACCGCCCTCCGTCGCCCTGCTGTCGCGGAAGGAGGGCTGGGCAGGACGGAGCGGGGCTCCGCTCCCCGCGGCGGGTCGGCGGCCGCCCTCACAGCGCCTCCTTCCCCTCACGTAGGTCGGTCGGGGAAGGCGGGAAGGGCGGGCGCTCTCAGTGCGCAGGCGCCTTGGGGAGGGGAAGAGGGGGGTGGGGTGGTGTTGGCGCCAAGCTTCGAACGGGGCGGCCGGGCCGCCGCCGCCTCAGCGGGGGGAGGCCGGTCCGCCTCGCGTGTGAGGCGATGCTGCGGCCGCCGTGCCGCCCGAGGGAGGTAAATGTCCCGCCTGTGGCTCTGCCCTGCCCTGCGAGCTGCCCCTTCGCCTGGGGGGGGGGGGGTCGGGGGGCGTCCCTGCTGCCCCTTGAGGATTTAACCCCGCTGGGAGGGTGTGTGTGGGGGGGTCGCCTCCCGCTGCCGCCCTTCTCCTCACAGCCTGCGCGGGGGTTTGCGGTTACCGGCCTGCCGGGGGTGGGGGCTCGGCCTCGTCCTCTGAGGCCCCTCGGCCCTGCGGGGTGACCCGGTGGCGTGGGCGGTTGCCCGGCAGGAGCTCTCTCCACAGCGTCGATAGGTCGCTTCGCCTTTTAAAACGTACTTCTGAGGCAATTTTAAATTTCTTGACTTTCTGTCTTAGGGTAGCTTTCACCCTTGTTTTTTAAACGCCTGTCTTTCCTATCGTTTTGGTAAGGCAGCGTGTATAATAAACGGCCATCGCGTCAGAAACTGATTATTTTACAGTGGAAACAATAAATGCGTTAAAATAAACAGGAAAGTTTCTGTGGCGATCTTACTTATACCTGTTTTTTAATAGAACTGTGAAACTGGCAACGTCTGCTCCACTTGAAAGCAATTTTAAATCAAACTCTTGGCACTTAAGTTGTAATGGTTGTGAGTTTATAAGTAATAATGTATATTCTTTCCTAACATACAGTAGTGAGTGTAGATTTTTCATTTGTATTTAAAATACCTCAGAATGGTGTTCTGACCGTTCCATCTCGATTTTCTCCTGTATTTGCTGAGTTTTTTTATTATCTCTGGTATAATTCCCTATGCTGCTCTTGTCTGTTGTTTGCATACCGTGTTCATCATTGCTGTGTTTGAACACACGTATCACAGTCCTAAAGCTAAACGTGTTGCGTTATGACACACCTACCAAGAAATGCAGGAAAGCAGACTGAAGACTTGCAGCCCCATGACATTAGAATAGCACTGTGTGAGAGTGTTCTCTTATTTCTTCTCAGGTTTTTCAACAACTGTTCCAGTAATGTTATGGATGAGAAAATGGCTTACAAACCTGTGGAAAGACCAACTTTCTTTGAAATATTTAAGGCACGTTGCAGTGAATCAGGTACAGCTTCTCCACAGTAAATAATTTTTAGTAGGGTTGCTTTCTGGACATTGATATTTTATACACATCTGCTTTATGTTCCACAGAAAAGCATTATGCAACTTGTTAGCTGCTCTTCTTGCCCCAAATGTGTATTTGCTAATATCGACTTGTTTATATATTTCTTTAATTTTTTATTTGTAGCTTTTTTTCATAATGTGTGCTCAGTTACTTTTTTGTACCAGTTTTTTAGCTGCGGCCTCCTTCTGTACCCATATGCAGACCTGGTTTAGTCTTTTGCCAAATGCACCTGTAGTAGTGTAATTTATTAATGTTAAAAGGAACCTGTTTAACTTGCCAGTCTGAGTAAAATAAGAGATAAACTAAAAGCCAGAAGTATACTTTTAATTTTAAACAAACTCTTTGGTTAGTTTTATTAATGGTCTGAGAATTTGGGCAGGCATTCTTTTATACTTTGTGGGTATCAGAGTTCAAAGCTATCTAGAAACAAAATAAACAGAAGTATGACAACAGAAGGAGCAATGGGTTTTGCTGTTAGCATTTAAATGCCTAATGTATTTTCACATCCTGCATGGAGGATCCTTTTTTCCTTTTTTTCTTTTTTCCTTTTCATGCGGTTTTCTCTATGTTTTTCTTCATAGACTTAGGGCCTATCAGCCTCAACTGGTTTGAAGAACTCAGTGCAGAAGCACCCCCATATGAGCCTAAATTGTTAGGAGAACTTGATGGTCCCTTTGGCTGGCTTGATCAAACATCTTTTAAAACTCCAAGGGCAAAACCCTCTACGTACAGTCAGCTGGCATCAACTCCACTGATTTTTAAAGAACAAAATACAATATTGCCACCTTATTCTTCTCCTGGAAATGAACTGGATGAGAAAAAAATAGGAACAAGTGAGTAATTTTTATTTATATTTTTTAAAGTGGTACTTAAAAGCTGCTTGTGCCCTCCAGAAGCAAGAGACTTTCTTTTTTTACCTTTTGTTGTTGTAGCTGATGATTATTAATGTAATAGATAATGCTACTGCAGAAATTTAATGACTAAAAAAACTTACCTTAGTAGGCTTCTGAAGACCACCTATAAAAATGCAGAATTAATCTTAATAATGAATTCAGCCTTGCAATAAACTGGTAGTGTATATGCAAAGTGCCCTGTAGAAAAGATATTGTCACGGTCCTATTACTCTAAATACTGTTAATATAAGGAGCATAAGAGCTTATTAGTGTAACCTCTTGACAGAGTCAGGGTG